GAAAGAGTTAATTTGGCCAATATATATGGGACTATATATCTATCAACGGTCCAGAGAACTGGGTTGTATCAGTATTTCCTAGGTGTGCTGCACTGTATGTTTCAATAAATTAAAACTTGGCAATGTAACCAAGTTCAATTTCAATGTTAAAAATCTATGGTTTATATGCTCCTCTGATTTTCAAATAATATTATTTGCCAAGCCACTCTAAATCCAGGGGCGACGATCTTGAGTTTTATAATGATGATGAATTCAGTGTTACAGCGATTACAAATAATGAAGGTGTTGAAATAAAGAGTGTTGGTGCACGGATGTTGCATGAAGATGAAGAAGAAGAAGAAGGAAATGATGACGATGATGTACAAATAATCCTGATAATGAAAGCTTTTTAAAACTTTAATTATATAATTTGGACCTAGTTTTGATTCTTATAGTCCTCGTATCTCTTTTTCTCTCTGTTTCTATCTTTAGTTGTAAGATTATATATATTTTTTAATCTTTTTATCTCCTTTTGCCGCCGCTCATGCTGTACTTCCAATACAAGTGTAGAAATTAAAATTGTCTTGTCTTTTATACGTTTTAGTCCATATCTTTTCATGATGTGTTGGAGCTAACAAAATGAAGCAATACGAAAGTACGCGAAACCAGATCATAGCAAGATGCTGTCTGATGATGACGCCTATAGATCTTTTAACAAAGAAAGATCCTTCACTAAATTATGATTATATGGATAATTTACCAAGTAGAAAAATTCACACTTTCAACTTACAGTTATCACCCGGCCGCCATTTAATCTAGCTTGCGCTACAGCCTCAACATGTAGTTAGAAATTTTCAAATGTTAGGATAACTGTGGCTCAAAGACATGGACGAGCTTGGCAAGAACAAATCATTGTATAAGATACAATACAGAATAGAGAATCATTTGTAAGCAAGGAAGAAATCAACTCAAGTTTATAAACATTTCACTTCGCTAGCAATGCGATGAGTATCAAGTGATCTGCCCACAGTTGGCCAGTTGAGCGCCATAATGGATCGGTGGAGGATGTCTTTGAAAGCACAGATATATCCCCTAGTCAGTAAAATGGAGAAGAGATGGGTTTGCGGGCTTTTGGAAATTGGGCCTAATGATACTTACTTGTTCATTAAACCTTGTCAATGGGATTAGGTTAACAAGATTAATAGAAGCAAGTTGACTTTAAAGCTTCACTACGACCTCGACACGAAAAAGTGGACTTGAAGCAGAGCATCTACTATTAGCTATTAGAGAGAAGGGAAAGTGAAACCTGATGTGAATGATGCCTGCTTTAGTTTCATTTCATGGTCCTTCTTCTATGTTGAGAATCATATTATTTTGTTGGACTGTCTAGTTGTTTTTTATTTAAAAATATATTAAAATAATATTTTTATATTTTTTTAAAAGTTATTCTATACATTATTATATTAAAATGATTTGAAAATACAAATAAATATTAATTTGAAGTAAAAAAATAAAAAAAATTATTTTTTTAAAAAAATATTTTTAAAACACAAAAATGAACAAATTCTAAAATTAATTATGGATGAGCAATTGTAAATTAACCTCTGATTTTATTTAACCATATATATATATATATTTGAAATAAGTTTATTTCAAAATTCAAGTATGCTGGTTTTATTAAAAAAATTAAACTAGAAATTTGCAACTTATGAATTACAAACATTATCTATGAATATTTAAATTATATATATATATATATATATATAATATTTTTTACCTTGTATTATTTTATCAATTTTTTCAGCACCCTGGAGTCCAAAAAGACTCCGTCCATCACATGTCACAAATGACGTTAGTTGGGAAGAGGTCATTCCGCGTAAAATAAGAGGCTCACGCACAGGATGGATAGGGGGTCGCCGTGACCTATCCTCAATAGTTTAAGCGCATGCTTATCCAATTTACATGGAAGACAATAGACGGTGAACACGACTTGTGATCGTAGTATTATTCTCACGGTGAACACCTAAAAGCATTATCCCTAATAATTGAGGCATTATGAAATTAAGGACCATCTTAACTTATTTGCATGCAAGTTAACGATATTCTTAGCTACACATTATATAGCTAAGAATATCGTTATAAATGCAAGGTCACGAGAGTGGACAGACAAAGGGCGTTCCCTCCTCGTGGTAAAGTGTCCTTTCATCTTTGACGCTTGATTCTAGGCAACTGCTCATGATTTTACTTCAAAATTTATATTTATTTCTCTCACAAATAGGTGAAGTTTATAGAAAAGTTTAGGATCCAATAATTTAGTCAGCGAAAATATTTAAATAATTCCTTTAAATTTGTGAGGGTAATGTAACATGCTTCTTGTGGAAAACTTCGGCATGACTTATCTGAACTTTCAACATAATTGACAACGTCGGACCCTCTCTGCTTAAAAGAGATGTTCTTTTATCGTAATGGACTTGGACACTTCTGAAGAACATAGAACAGCTTGTCTAGAATGAATACGTGAGTCGTGTGTTGCGGGTACACTGTAGCGAAACAGGCTGGTGCTCCATGCTTGACCTGCAAAATCTGAGCCCTCTTCAATACGAACAAGGACCTTGACCAAGTCAGTCCACCCCCGTGTTCCTTGAGTATTTCTCTTCTTACTTCGCGTTGAGCTTGCGACTCCACAATCTGTTGAATCTAATCTGTTTCTTCATTCTTCATTTATTCAAATCATGGGATCAAGACAAGAAGGATTTGGATTCTAGAAAGAATCCCTTTCAAAAATAGTCTGCAGGTCGGGCTTAAATAGCTAGGTTTATAAAATTTGCTAAAAAAAATTAAATGCTGTCTAAAACTATTCAATTTACAAAATTTAAGTAAAGAAAGAAATAAAAATCACTACGAATTAAGTCCTGAAAATTTATAAAAATCGAAAAAAATAAAAACTCATAGAACTTGGAAAACGTAGGCCAAAACAATGAAATCTGGGATCCAAAACAATCATCAAGGAGCATAGCTCCCTATCCAAAACGTGCACCTCTGAATTGGGGTGATTTGTTTTATCCTGAGTCTCGAATAAAAAATGATAGCCACTATTATGGAAAGAGTAGGCAAAATCATATCAAATTGGATTTGAACAATTGTTTTATTTTATCTTTGCGTTGGTCTGCACTCTCTATCAAGATAGTCGTAACCATCTAAGTGATGGCCAAGTGGTAAGAACTTGAGATCAAGAGGTTTGCTCCCTCTGTGGTCTCAGGTTCGAGTCCTTAATTGCTCATATGATGGCCACTGAAGGCTTACATGGTCGTTAACTTCAGGGCCCATGGGATTAATCGTGGTGCGCACAAACTGACCCAGACACCCACGTTAACCTAAAAAAAAAAAAAATAGTCTAGCGCTATCAACTTCGTATCTGAAAGCTAAGCTTCTCCTGAATCTCCATCGCCACTTTTCTACATCATAAGCATAACTATTTTTTTGAGTTTGATAATATTTTCTCGTTCGATTCTAGTTTTAAGGGTGGTGCAGCTGTTTGAAATTACAAGCCAATAAAAAGATGAGCTTTAGAACATGCATATGCAACTGTTTTCCCTTTTCTTTTTTTCTTTTTTCTTTTTTTTTAGAATGAAATATATATGTAACTGTATTATTCTCACAATTGAAATCCGAGAGGAGAGGTGATCAAAGGTGAACAGTTTATTTTGCGAGGAAGGAGATGATATCTCATGAGATTTAACGGAAGATATGGACACTGGTAGTTTATGACTTTATGTAATGGTGTGGTCCATTTGTGGAGAAACCATCTCGTTGGGTGTTTTTCTGTTTAGTTGCTTTATTTAATTCGCATCTTTGTTTAAAGCTTTGGGGTTATCCGTTCTTGATTCCAAACTTTTCAAGGGTCACCTTCTTTATATTTTAACTTTTTAAGTGGATACTTTGTATCCAAAGTGTCATTTTCTGTAGACGAGTGTCAGGAGGGCACCAGAAATTTACGAGTGATCATTGAAACGGAGGAGAAAATGTCATAACAGGAAGATTGACAATTTTAAAAAACAAAAAAAAAAAAAGGTTGAAAAAGGTTTCAGATATGGCAAGGAATTAAGTTGAAATTTGGAATGGAATATTTACGAGCCTAATCATCATTTTCCATTGTATCTCATGTTAAAAAGATAATGCAAATTTAAAGTGAAATTATATTATTATTAGATATTTTTATAAAATTATTTTATATAAAAAATATTTTGTTTTGACCAGGCTATATAATGTTTTAATAAAAAATGATAAATAGAAAAATATTAAGTTAAAGATGAATTATATATCAGCATTTGAATAATTAAAAAAATAAAAAGCTTTTTAAAATTTGTTAAAGAATCAATGGTCATAGTATTAAGTACAAACATGATTTAAGTGAGTAGTCGTTCTTCATGCTATAATATATAAATCAAAATATTATTAATAAATGAATAATAATTACACCGAGAAACTAGTAAGTAAAATATTAAGTTAAATAACTTATAACTTTTCTAATGTTTGAGGAATCATGATAGGTTACTAGACATTGTACTTAATATTCAAATATAAATTAATAAATTATTAAATTTATAATAAATTAATTTATTTAATCATATTTTATTTATGATTATGAATTATATTTGAAAAAACTTATTAAAAAACTTAATGGGTCACACACATAGATTCATTGGTTATAAATTAAAATGAGATAATTAAGTAGGTATTAATTAATTGTAAATAAGTTTTAGAAATTGAGTACTAGATTATAATTTTAAACCTAAAAAAATCACGTAATGATTTAATTGAATAAATTTATAAATTTATCCTTGAATAATATATGTGATACTATTCAGGGGCAAATTGATAATTTGTTATTTTTAGGGTTTTTAGGTTTTTCTATATCATGGATATGCTTTTAGACTCGACCCACGAGTGGGTAGCCACTTCCATGAGCCAAACCACAAGGTTGAGCCCATCTCCTCGAGGTCCCTAGTCAATTAGACAGTTACATATAGGTTAAGAAAAGCAAGTAATAGGATTTGAGCCGGTGATATTCTCTTCCACTAAGTCCTAACCACTTGACTATTACTAGTTAAGCTACTAGCTCACTTTGCCTTATAAATATGTGATGCTTCTTATTTTATATATATAAAAAAAAACAGTTTAAGTTACAGAACACTTAAACAATATAAGAAAAGACTAGCACTCAAAAGTATAATAATTTCTCTCTTTTAAAAGGATTTAGGAAATTTCTCACTAGTAGTTTATATGGATTACTATTAGAGTTTAAATAATTGGACAACTTATGTTTTACAATATTCCAGCTTTA